TTCCCAGTTCCCCTTTTCTCATTTCTTATATCTCTTCAATTTATTGTAGTAGAGTTTCTATCTGTATTCCTATTTTAATGGAACTACACTTAAATTAATCAGAAAGGAACTTATTAGTGCTGAAATCAATTAGTCTCCTAAAATCTTGATCTCAAAGGTCTTCCTATTATTTTGGACAATGCTGACCCCGTTTCAATCTCTTCTTACCAATTTTTCTCTTTGACTTTCCATGGCAACATACTCTGCTAGAGTTTTCTTGTAACACATTATTCTCTAAATTCAAATGGTCCTGTTTTTTCAAACTTTGTTTAAATAGTTGTGTTTCCAAGAGTACTTTCCTCAGTTCTTAATCTATTCACATTCTCTGGATGATCTATTTTTATGGTTTCGACTATTACCTATTTTCTGATGACTTCCAACTCTTTATCTCTGGCCCCAACCTGTCCCTCAAGCTTCAGACTTGTATATCCAACTGCCTGTTAGAGATCTCCACCTGGATGTCCTACAGGCATCTCAAGCAAAACGTGTTCAAAGCTGACTTCATCATCTTTTCCCTAAACTGATACCTTCTCAAGTATTCTCTGTCTCAATTGCTGGTTGAGCTCTCTATCTGTCACCCAAGTTAGGAATCATCTTTGATTTTTCCTAGTCCTCATGCCACAGATAAGATCTATACATATTTAAAAAAATAGTAATTGGATTTATTCACATCTCTCTTATACTTACTATCTCTGTCCTGGCTTGGGTGAGCCTGTACTATCTTTCTACTGACTTCTAAAAAAAAAAAAAAAAAAACTCTTAACAACTTTCCTTGACTTAGTTTTCTTTGATTCTTGTCTCCTCACTGTTATCAGACCTTACCTATTTTAAACAAAAAAAAATGTGAGCCTTTCATTTCTCTCTTTAAAACTATTCAGTGACTCTCCTTTACCTAGAGGACAAGGTGTAAGTTCTTACTATGATCAGGCTGAAGTCTACCTTCCCAGTTCCCTTTTATAATTGATGTTTCACTATATACAGATTGCTTGTAATTCCCTGAGAACATCAGGTTATCTATAAGTTACTTTGGTTTATATTTTCTCATGGGATTGGAATGACCTTCCTTCTGCAATTGCCCTAGAGGCTTGACAACAGCCTACTCATTCTTTACCAATACTTGGATGGCTTTCAAGGAGAAGTTCACTCATTCTGAGACTGGGTTAGGTGCTCCTTCTTAGTGTTATTATAATATCCTCTATATATCTCTAATGTGCCATTTAACATAATAACACGAGTTTTTGTGTCTGACCCTCCAGCTACAATGTCTTGAGGGCAGACATCACTTCTGTGTGACTTGTTTTTGCAGCACTAATGTTTAGTTTGAGAACTGACATAAAACAAATGTTCAATGATTACATGAAAGTATAAACAAGGTTGAGGCAGAGTATAGAGCAAAGATTCAGAAAAATATTTAGGTGGTAGCTGGGGGTTGGAGGCTGCAGCAGAGTGAAGAAAGATGAGCTGGAGTCAAAAATGACACCAGTTTGTAAGTGACAATACAATCAAGTGCATCTAGTATATCATACTAGAGGAGAAAGAAAATTTAAATGGAATATTTGGGGACATGTTGAGCTTGAGATACTAATAGGAGTCCTATAAAATGTTCTTAGTTCACTTATAGCAGTTTGTACAATGCTTACAAAAACTAGACATTCAAAAATTTGTTGAATTTAATAGTCATTGCTAACTTGTTAAAAATAACCAGGCTGTAAATCCTGGAATCTGTCATATAAGCTAACCATATTTGGTTCAGTTATTTTTTTCTCTAAAGTCATTTTTTAAAAGATTTTTTTAGATAGATGAATTTAAGGATTTTTTCCCTCACTGTCTTTAGACAATAAACTTTAAAAGTTTGAGTGAGAAAGAGAAAATCTTTAGGCCCATAACACAGAAAGAAAACATTTCTAGGCCAGGTAGGTTTTGGTTTGTTTAATTAAGATTAAATAATAAAGAGTATAAGATGAGGATTAAATAATAATGGAAAGTCTTCTCTGACAAAAACTGTAAAGCTCCTCTTTCTATGGCACCAGAATTAAGGAAGTTTGCTGGTGTTATTTCTAGGTGGTGTTTGCCAAAACTTTTTTTTTTAATGGCTGAATCCAAAGCTGTGAATGTCTCTGTACATCTGCCAGAAAACAGAAATATCACGTACGGTTTGTACAACCCCTTAGACTAATTAGCAATAACCTAACAATTGGTTTTAGGTTTGCCCCTTCTGCAGCAAGGTTTGGGCTGATAATATTTTTGCATCCTTTCCAGGTTTTAGCTTATTCACTACAGATATTTGCACTTAACTAAAGGAACCATGCAACCATTCTTGTACACAAGCTACCTGGATCCTGTTTGTTTTCCTCTGTAAACATTGGGAAAACAAAATTCCATTTCCACCTATGAAGAGAAACACCTGCTTTTCTAATTAGCCAAAACTGATGCCTACCCATTGAGAAATTGTTTATAGATTTGTCATGGCAACCTATCCTCTCTCAATGCCTTGAAAGATGAAAGACACCCCAAGACTTTTAATCTCACCTATGTCAACAAGAACCCATGAAACTGGTTTGTTATGTCTATGTAGAATTCTCAGTCCAAACCAAAGTGGACACATCAAGATCTTACTGTAATGATTATACCAAATCCTTCTCAGCTACCTGTTAAGGGAATGTTTTAACTGAACACCAGAAGATACAAAACTGCCAAACTCAAATTCTTAGGGTTTCACTGTAACTTATTCTAATTTTTATGGTTACTGTATAACAAACTTCAGTGTCAGGTCATAAGATAAGCCCATAAGAAAAATGGTTCTAAGTGAATTTCTGCCCTTTAATCTGTTTGAATGAGACCGATAATCAACTTATTTTCCTTTTTGCTATGATCCTCATCAAACCATCCTTTGCAAGGAGTTTTAGATGTTTTTGATTGCCTATAGTAAGCTAACAGTGATTTAAGAAGTTGGGTGATGCAAATGCCCAAAAATAGATGACTGGATCAAGAAGATGTGGTACATATACACAATGGAATATTACCCAGCATTCAAGAAAGATAAACACATGCAATTTGCAGCAACATGGATGGCGCTGGAAGGGATCATGCTCAGCGAAATAAACCAGAAAGAAAAAGAAAAATACTGGATGGTCTCACTAGACCATCTAGAAATCTAGAAAACCTAAATATGAACCAGGAAAAAGAATAACTATACGAAAGAAAAAAATTAAAATCAACAAACAACTGTGAACCAGAGACACTCTCTGTGTGGTGGGAGGGGGAAAGGAGGGATTGAGGTCAAAATTGGGGTTGCAACTGTATGGGGAATATAAAAATTAAAAAAATTAAAAAAAAGAAGTTGGGTGATGATTCAGAAAGATTATAAAACATGTGTCAGCACTAAAAACTTCTTTAGCCAAGTGATACAAATTGTTCAGGAGTTAAGCAACAATTATGCTTCAGTGATGAATAGGTCTAGAGACTTAGTGATGAAGGGAGTCAGTTGAGAAAGATGATCTTATCATATCTAGTAACTGGAAAGGCAAATGCTCTGAGAGTTGCATTTCAGCTTAAACATGAAAACTTCAAAGTGGATTACACTACTCCAGTACCAATGGATATAAATTGGGGGGGAAATATTTATAGCTTTCCATTAAGACAGCACCAATTAGAAACAATTTAAGAGAAAAACAATTTGAGTGTGATGATAGCACACAAAAAATATAAAATCAAATATGTAAAATAATATTAACTGCTGTATTTAAATCATTATTATTCATATTAATGATTTTTATTATCAGTAATTAAGAACTAATATTCTAGTTCTGATGATTCAATGAGTCTTTTTTTATAGTTCCCAATTCCATGATTATTAATGTCACCTGGTGATGCAATAGCAAGAGATACATTTAATGCAATCATGGGAAAAGAACCTTCTGTTTTTAATTGGAGTCGTGCTAGAAATCATTGGAGAACTTTCCTTTTTTAGATTTCCAGAGCACTAAAACTGAAAAAGAAAAACAGATACTCTTCCCTAAAATACTAATTGAAGATGTGTTATGTAAGTCTTGATATTTTGCCAATAGATAGGTACATGGAGGATGTTATATTTTCTTCTGGAAGAAGCATGTAGACACACAGTATCCTACAGTTTAAAATATGCTCTAGACACCATGACCAAACTTCAAGTTGCTGGAACAAAACATAGAATGCCATACTCTCTACTGTCGGTGTAGTTCCATTTGTCAAATAGAAATATAAAATGGATTCACTAGTGAAACAGAAGAATAATTTTAATGTCTTTAATTTTAGGGTAGTCATAAAAAACATGGGGACCAAGATGGATTCTGATAGTCAGCTAAAGGCTGAAAAATAGGATCTGAAGAAACCTTTAGTTAACTCCAAAATAACTGCCTCCTGGTTTAAAAAGGGGGGGCCTCTAAAGAAAGAACCAGTGAATCGATATAAAAAGAGACCTCTTCTCTTCTTCAGTTTCAGCTAAGATTTCTGAGATCTAGAGCAAACAACATTAGCCAGGAAACCTCACCTTTCAAAACAACGTCTGGACAATGTATGCAAAATTTGCAAAGTGTGCACAAAATCCTGTTTTGCAAGCCCTTGTCTCATCAAACTGGTTGGGAAATGAAAACAAAGAAAGAAAATGTCTATGTGAGAACTGCTTTGTGGTCTTTCTTTCTCTTGGGGAGTTGCTTCACCCTTGCTTTAAATCAACTGAGATGGGTCTTCAAGAGACCAACTTGAAAGCAAGAATAAGAGTAAAGGAAAGATCCATGAGATCCAATATTTTTCCAGCAACAGTAGAGCAAGAAAGAGTGTGTTTCTTGTGGACTGAACATGGGCAAGGGAGTAGAGCAAATCTAATGCTGTTTTGAATGTTTTCCAAGAAAATGCCCACAGGGGCAACATGACCCTCAACAGAGAGATAACCAAGGAAGAAATAAATGCTACCGCTTGGGAGGTATTGCCTCTGTCAAAGGAGGTGCTGTCAGAGGGTCCCAGCAGGGGATGTCTTGCGGGAAGTCCACAAGAAAGAATGAATGTTATATTCAGAGAGCACTTTGATGCACTGCTCCTCTGCCTGGTAAGTAAGACTTTTGTTGTCCTTAGTAACACCTCTCTAACCTGACCCAACAAAGAAAAGGGTTGGAGAAGAAGAGGAGCAAAGCAAGATGAAGAAAAAGGGAGAAGCCTGCTATTCCCTCTCTCCCTCTTGGACTTTTGAGACTGAAGTAGCCTGAACCAGGGGAAGAAAATCACCTTCTGTGGTTATCACAGGACTGGGCAGTTTTCACACTGAGTGATGTTTGCATGTATGAATTCTGAAAGTGTTTTAAAGGTATGGAACATACCAAGATATTGTTTGAGTAGTAAGGAAGAAATAGTCTGCAGAGGGGCTTGAAAGAATAGAAGAAAAAGGGATAAAATTATTTTCTACTATCATCTTATTATTTAATAATGGCAAGCTTATTTAATCAATGGCTACAAATAAAATAATTTTTACCACTGGGGGGAAACTACTCAAAACACAAGCCTCTTGCAATATAGTGGCCAAGCCAATGGAAGTTCATTTATTAGTTTAGCACATTAAACAGTCTTGATTTTCAAGCTGTCTCCACTAAATAAATATATTTGTCACCTTCTTTGGACACAATTTCTGATGCAAAGCTGGGAATGTGTTGCATTGACCAATGCATTGACCTATCTTCTTGTTGCATTGACCAATGATCCTACTTTTTGAGTGTCTACATAAACATTATTATTTTTAATACCTCATTTTGCAGGGTCTAGAGTTGTGATTACTACATACTTTGACTGAGTGATGCTGAACACATCATCAAACCTTCTCCTGACACAGTTTTTTAATACAAAGTAAAACTGACAATGCAATTAAAGATACAAGGAAAAGCTTTAAAACATCACAAGCTATGAAAATCAGAGAGCCAGAATAAATACCTCGTGGAAATGACATCCACACACTCCCTGCAGAAACTCCTTGTATCTCCCCATTGTTAGCGTGAATGTGTCCACCACTTCATAGCCATATCTCTTTGCAGCATCCAGAATCATCACATTTTCTTTCCATAAGTTCTGTACTTCACTCTGTATGGGAAAGCAGAAGAATGAGGTTTTTTATTAATCAGGACTGTTTTGTGATTTAATAACTCAGGTAGAAATCATGCAAATGTCAACTTTTTTATAGATTGGTCCTACTGTAAAATTAAGAATGGATTTCACATGCATTTCTCAAATAAAGATGTGTTCCATTTTTTATCATATGCAAAAACAAACATATCTCAGCAATACATAAATATTTACAACGACTCACAATTTGGAACTTTCCCTCCTTTGAGAAGTAGTGAGGTTTACTGTCCACTGGGACATATTCAAACATCAAAATGTTCAATTGAAACAACAAAATTGAAAATGCTCTCACCATCTTGTTAGATTATTGTTCACTTAGTCATTTGAATATTAATGGGCATCTGTTTTGTGCTTAGCTCTGTGTTGAGGGAAAGGAATACAGAGATAAAGGAATCATGGTGCTTGCTCTAAAAGCACCTGTCCTCTATTAGGAGAAACAGATTACCTACAAATTTTACTGAGCAGTAAATATTGTAGGTTCTTGGCTGGCTGGTTGAAAAGAAGAACAAGCTCTGCAGATCTAGGGGGACAGCCAGACATTGAGGCTTCAAGAGGGGATTCCTGAGCAGATGGAGGTATTCCCGTTGGATGGCAATGGGAAGGAGAGAAGGGACAGTGATTGGGGAGCAAGAGAATTGAGAGTCTCTGGTTGCTGCTTCTCTAGATTGTATCTCCCACTCCTTCCTCGCAGCTTCCTCCTCCCTCCCTCCCTCTTCCCTTCTTGCTGCCTCTAATCCAACTATGCCTGAGGCAATGATTACTTCTTGAGGGGGGGTACTCTAGTGTAAGTCCACCAAGGAGAGGGGAAGACTCCCCTACTAACTACTCTAATTTGGGAACTCCTCAATGGCTTGGCTGAGATGATCTCATACTGACCTGCAGTCTGAGATTCTTCCTAACTAATTCATCCTTCTTTCATTTTCTTCAATCATTCACCTCTACTGCCAAATACAGTTCCCAATACATACAAAATACTCAAAAAAAAAAAAAAATACTTGGTGCAAGATTAGGTGATATATATTGAATGCTGTGGTCTGAAATGTTTTCTCATCTATTTCTACAGTCCCCGCTTTATTCTTTCCAGGTTTTCTCCCTAATAAGCCAGCTTATTTGGCAAATCCTGTGTTGGTGTCTATTTTTTTTTAACTGTTCATCTTTTGATTTTTTTAAAGATTTATTTATTTATACAAGAACCAGGGAACAGGCCACATGTGTGGGAGGGTGAGAGGATTCACCAGAGACAAAGCGGGGAAAAGAACAGGTAGACTGACTGAAATACACTGCTGAGGGAAGCAGCGGGCAAGACAGAAGAGGTCTGCCGCACCATGTGGGTTGCTCTGCTGCCAGTTGGGATCGAACTGGCACTGCGGAGGTTGTGGACAGCTTCACAGCGCTGCACTCAACTGCCTGAGCCACCAGGGAGGTCCAAGTTGTTGGTGTCTATTTTATGGAGAACTTGAAATGACACAGGGTGGGAACTGCGCTCCCCTCCTTTTTTTAAAAGGCAAATGCAATTTTCATTTTCCTGATAAAAGAGCAAACAATTACTTGCATTTCTTCATCTACTGCAAAGCAAAAGGAGCACTGTAAATGTATCTTTTTTTTTTTTGTCTTCACCTATTTACATGATCATCAAGAGTAGCAAATAAGGCTAGTGAATAGAGGAAGAGCATAAAGTAGCTAGCTGTGTGGAATAAAAGAGACAGATATGAATTTCGTCCCTACCAATGCATGAAAAATGATGCTTGAAATGCTCAGTGTCATTTGTAGCCTTCTATAGAGTTACAAGTATTTTCTGAAATTCAGTGTGTGTAAATGAAGAGGAACTAAGAGTAGATAAAACTTTATGGTTAGCAGTTCCCAGGGAAGGTTTTCTAGAAAAAAGTGGGTCCTCTGGGAAACAGCTCTGAGGAAGAACTTTGCAAATAGGGCCTATGAAGAGAGCATTCAACTATGAAGGAGTGAGGGGGAAGGGAGAATTGGCCAAAGGGGAGTTTGCACTGCCACATACATGCAACAGTGGCTTTTGCAGACCCCATGGAACTTCCAGAGCTGGATGGCCTTTCCGAGTTGACCCAGATTAAGGATAGAGGCCTGTATCCTGGCATTCCTATAGGATTTCTGCAGGAAGAGGCAACTGACTCCTGCTGGGATCCAGGTGAGTCATCACTGGAGCGTTCCCTCAGCAGCCCAGAAGACTGAATATCTTAGTTCCGAAGGAGACATGTGCAAGCAACCAAATCACATAAAATATGCATTCATGCAAATGATTTTTTTGAGGGTCTACTATGTGCTGAGAGTTGTGCTTTGCATTTGAGTGAGCAAACTTTAATGGGATAGGGGTGATCAAAGAATAATCTCACCCGTTTACCATTAAGTTTTCTACTGAGGAGTGTTTGGCACTCTCTTCCTCCTTTTAGGTAGGAAAGCACAACATACTTATGAGCTATAGCCTCCCTATGGCTAGGAATAGTTATAACTGATTTGAAATCATGACTCTTAAATCTATTGTATCCTTTGATTTTTGTGAAGGTCATGGAGTATCACCCAGGACCTTTTTCAGACAGATATTTATAGGAACCAGGAAGTTCATGCAGCCTAGAGGACATGGACTTACATGTGTTAAGAAATGTACTCCATCCACGGGCAGGTGAAATCCAATTCCCAAAGTTTTGATGATCACAAGGATATTGAGTAAATTTTGCCTGCGAAATGATCAGAATTCTAAAGTCATGAAATTTGATGACATTTCTAGATGCCTATTGTTTACAAGAATATTAAGGACTTCTTTTAGAATGTATAATTGGCACACAGGGTGAAATTCTCATTTTATATATTTGATATATATTATGTTTTTTTTTTTTTTTTTGTGCCATGAGCATGATTTGATCCATAACTATAAATTTGGTTTTTTTTAAATTTTTTGTGTAGAGAACTGGGGTGTAGGCCAGAGGTAGAGTGGGTGAGAGGATACACCAGAGACAGAATGGGGAAGAGAACAGGCAGATCTACTAAAATACACTGCTGAGCAGAGTAGCAGGTGAGACAGGAAAGGTCTGCTGCACCATATGTGGGTCAGCTCCCTGGTTGGGAATTGAACTCCTGGCCAGGGTGGTGATAACACTGAGACTTAACCGCTAGGTCACCATGGAGGCCCCATAGCTATAAATTTGGACACTGAGTAGTCATTTTGTGATTGGATACCACAAATATTTGAACTATTTTAAACTAGAATTTAAGGACTTAAGTAAGCTGCTCTTTAAATAAAATCATGATAAGATCCAGTCATATTGATAGAACCATTTTTGAAACTTAGAATACTCATGACAATTATTGTTGCAGAAATTTACCTCTTCAAAACTTTGTGAATAATTTGCAGGTGATTGGAATTAAGCCACTGAACACCACCAACAACCAATACAGTCTGGGCAGAATTCTCCAGGGGCTGTGATCTGAAATCCAGAAAGAAAAACAACACATGTTACCTTAAAACAGATGGTAAACATTTTAACAGCATTGCCTCACATTTCACTGAACCATAGCTGGCAGCCTGATCACAAGCCCTCCTTGTCATTTCCAAATAATTTCTAGCCATATCACTTGGTATTTAAGCTTTTCAACACATATGATACATAGTGAGCAATTATGACTGCTAGTAAAACATCAGTGCATCATGCTGCTCGTAATAGTCCTTCGTACCTTTGCAAGAGATGTTCAAGTGCTTTTTCAAATGTTGGTCTCAATGAAGAGCTTATCCAAAACTGTGGATAGTAGGAATAACTGATCAAAGTCTTCCCACCATTGACGTTGTGGTAGAATTTAGTGCCATGTACCTTCTGCCATTCTTGCAAGGTTTCATTCAGTCTCTCGATCAGATAATACATGATCCCTCTATTGGTGGAATCTCCAATGAAAAAAATCTATAAATTAAAGAAGGATGATTTGATTTTAAATCTGATGTTTACATGGTATAGGAGAAAATCTAAAAAGTAATTTGTTGAATACCCATAAAACTGTATGTCTAATTATTTGAAGGATTAGCCCTTCAATATGTGAGAAATGCTCTTCAAGTGTCCTCCAAACCTATTCCTTTTCCTCTCTTCCATATTTCTAGTAATGTCATCACCGACTGACATACTAACTCTTGTTTATAGCTTTCTGCCTCATATCTTTAATATCTCTATCTTTAATATATCTATCTTTAATTTTTTCTTTAATATCTCTATCTCCCATGTGTTCTTTTTTTCTTATCCAATCAGCTTAACACATTTTATTGATGCAAATAGGCATGAATTATTTTAGAGTTATAAGGATACTTTGAGATTTTCAATCTCTTTATTTTACAGATGAGAAGGCTGGGAATGTACAAGGTTCAGTAGCTCAATAGAGGTCTCTGCACTACTTGAGAAAAGAGCCACAGGACTAGGACCTGATTGGCTGAATAGCAGCGCATGTCCCAGGAACATGTTCTAGAGCCATTTCCTAGAAGTCTCTCATGTCCATGAGCTCCTTCCTGTTCCACCGGCATAGCTCTACTTTATCTCCATTGGCTCAGAGCTGTGCTTTGTATTACCCTCCTAAAGGATCTTCCTTCTTGCATGATGGTTACTTCTAATTTATTCTATATGTTACAGGGCAACCCCGATATAAAATGGGTTGCCTGACTGTGGGTCCTCACCCACACACTTAAAGGGGACTTATACTGCAGGCACACACTAAATGTTAACGAAGGTTTATTTACAAGGGAAAGAGAAATGAGGAAATGTAAACTCAGGGAGAAAAGAGGGAGATAAATTCTTAAATGTGTCCTACCAGTTCCACCGACCTGGAATCCCCAATGACCCACCAAGACCAAACCTGCCTGGCCTAGAACATGAGCCTAAGACCCCACTAACAGGGCTGGTTTTTATTTACAAACAGAGAAAATGGCTGCCTAACTCCGTCCCTAGGTCCTCGCAACTTCTCTTTGGGGATCATGGGATTTGTAGTTCCCAGTGTCTTGATGGAGTGGGGGTGGCACCCACAAAGCCTGTATGGAGTTTGCTCAGGACATCCTTTCCCCTAACATATACACAGTATTCCTTGGATTATTTCCAAATGCTCAGCCCTGGTCACTTTATTTTCATGCTCAGAAAGCTTCCTGGTTCCCTGGTTTTCTATAGAAGCAAGTCTAAACTCTTTAGATTCAACTAAATTTGCTGACCCTGGATTGTATATCAGGTTTTACTAGGTAGAGGTTGCAAACAGGTACTCACTTTTAATCTTCATAATTGTGAGGTATGAATAATTATCTGTTTTACAGATGAGCAATTAGAGGCTCAGGGAGATATAAATCATAAATCTAGTAAATGGAGAACACAGGACTCAAACCCAGATCCTTTTCATGCAGGGTAAATGGACCTTATCCTAACAATTCCCCTCAGAGAAGCAGATCAGATTCCTACTTTTCATTGAACATGATGTGCACTCAGTAACATCTGTTTTTCCTTGTGCTAATCCATTGGCCTAAAAAGTTCCCCCCTGTGCAACCCCACCCATGTAAATGCTACATAACCACAAGTCTGACACAAGCATCTCTCTCAGCAGGTCTTGTCCAATGCTCCAGCCAGAATGACCTCCTCTGTTTTCTGTGATTTCATTGCATTTCCTACTTACACTATGCATTTGATCAAAGCCTACATGACATGATGGATATTTGTGTCTGTGACTTTGTTTTTTATCCCCCATCTGGTATCAAGAAGTATTTGCGGTCAGAGTCAAGGTTAATTTCTAAATAGTAATCCTCTCCCCTTCTACTACCATGTATGTACTTTAAAAATATTTATTGAACTGAAAGTCAAAGGGACTTTTGTTAGGGACAATCTCTTTAAAGTCTTTGAGTAATGCTTATTTTGTTCTTCAGTTTTCTCCTTTTCTCTCCCCCATTATGATTTCCCCCATTAGTCATTTTCTTCTGATTGTAGCAGGAGTCACTGACATCATTTCTTAGACACTGTATGTGTCCACCCACAGCGTACTTAGTGGGAATCTGCAAGAGTTTCTTCTTTCCATGGTAGGTGTATTCCAATAGCTATGTGAAATCCAAAGTATCTCCAGTTTGCCTTCGGATCAATTACTGTTACCATAGACATTGTCAGGCTAAACTGAGTAACATGGCAAGACTTAAGTCACCGAGCTTCTTGATCAAGCGTCACTGGGATAATATAATACTACATAGTAAAGTGCCAAAGATTGGGCTGCTTATACACAGAATTTTACTTTCTCATAATGTTCCAGGCTATAAGTCCAGGATCAAGGTATTTGCATGGGTGGCTTCTTCTGAGGTTCTCTCTTTTTGACTTTTTCATAGATGCCTTCTCTCTGTGTCTTTAATGGTCTATCCGTGTGTGCATCTGTGTTCTAAGCTCTTCTTTGTATAGGGACACCAGGCATATTGGATTAGATCTACCCATTATTTTACCTTAATTACCTCTTTAAAAGGTCTCACATTCTGAGGTACAGGGGTTTAGGACTGCAATGTATGAATTTGATTGGGCGAGAATGCAATTCAACTGTTAACAGCAGTAAATAACCTTTGAGATCTGACTTTTAAACCAAATTGCCATTATAGATCTTTCTTGAAGGTTTTTTTCATCTCAGCATCAATATGCAATCCCCCTAGGGTATTTTTAGACTACCAATAAGATCAGTGGATATCTGTAGTATGAGTTTCAGAGAGAGAGACAGAAGTTTAAAAAAAAAAAAAATCAAAGTCACATGTAATCATGCGACTGAGAAAAAAAAATTCTAGATTTTCAGTTTTTTTCTGTGGGGTTTTATGAAGATCCAACCCACTAAAGCAAGTGAGGGGCCAAAGTACCATTCTTCAGAATTCCTGGGTACTGTTTTTATTCACAAGATAATCTTAACAAATTATGTGACTCCCAAGGTTCAATCACTTTTGTATAAAATGGCAATGACAACAACCTTACAGAACTCCAATGAGATTTTAAATATCTTTTTTTCTGACACATAGTAAGTGCACAAGAGATCCAAGGACATGAGCTAGCATTAAGGCATAGGAAAGACAAATCATGTTTTTGAGTGTGTCCAGCGTGCATGGCAGAGTTTTGGGAGGCACTTTAAATTTATTAGCTCATTAAGAGAAAATTCCAGAAAAAATAGGAATCATCTAAATCACAGCACTTTCTTGCCCTACCATACTGGCCCCCTGTGGGACTTGTGGGGTTGTTGGTGAAACTGAAGCTTTTGCTAGAGGACTGGGGGAGACATTACCACCCTGAGACAAACAACACTTTCAGAAATTTCCTGGCATCTCTGTTGCTGATTAGTGAGTAGCAGAGAAACATGGATGCCAGAAGGAAGTGTCACCATGTTCATTTGCAGAAGAAGTTTCTCTAAATTGCAAATCTCTAGACAACATTTTGTGAGTTTAGTAGACACAGCTTTGGGAAGTCCATTTTTTGCAGAATTATTTTATCCAGGTGCTTTCTACTCATGAAATAGAGAAATGATAAATTATAACTAGATGAAAATGAAGTCATAAATTTAAGATTGCTTGTACTGGAGGCAAAATAGTTTTCATAAAAGGTTAATTAGTATTCTTAACTAAATGATGCTAAGTTCAAAATGTCAGCCCTTTTAGGTGCACAGATACCATTAAAATTAATATCAGGAATTAGAGTGTTTCTTCTTGGTCACATGATTCATATTCAATCTTTATATCTTTTATATCATTCATCTTGGTGACTTTTTAAAAAGGAAATTTGTAGATTATTTGTTTTAAAGGTCAGTTTCTACACTGAAAGGTCTAAATTACCATAACAAATACTTAGGGCTTGCCATACAATCTGTAAATAACTCTTACTTTCTGTGAAAATTATTGCCTTACACTGGAATGCACTGGGGTTGGCTAGCATAAGCAATTAGAGAGAAAAAAGGAAGTGAAATGTAAATAACCAGTAGGTAATTATAAAAACAATGTTAGCAATGAAAACTTAAAATAACCAGCTTCTCACCTTACCAAAGTAAGAAAGATTTTTAAAGCCCCAATAATATCACAAGTTTAGGGACATGGATCTCCCACATACCACTGTGTAAACACCACAAGAGGGCTTTTGTATTATTTTTTAGAATGTTGATTCTATGCCCCAAATAACACAAAACTAGGTTCTTATTTGTTAAATGGATGAATGGAAACTTAGCTGTTGTGTGCATAAATTGGCAGTTTTTAAGGAATTTCATTTCTAGGAACTATTTAAAGTTGTATATTAAAATATATTTTAAAAGCAAAATAAGATGAAAAGAGCATAAATAGCTAACAATAATACACGGCTGACTGATTATATTAAGGTATAGTCACACATTTAAATTTTTTTTTTATCTTTTAACACTATGAATATTTCATGATGGGAAGATTTCATGTAAACATCAATAAAAAACTGATTACAATCAGCATGTAAATAATGATTGCATCTTTATAAAAGTAAAGAATTGGATCCATAAAAAAGGACTGAAAGGTAATTGGTAATTATTTTAAAGTGGTGATATGACAGTTTGTTTTTGCTCATTTGTATTTTCTCAAATGAGTATAGATTAGCTTTTTATGATACTACTAATAAAGAAGCAGCAGAGGGGTAATGGCAGTAACAGACTCATTTTATAACAAAACATTTTGAAAATGTATATAAAAATCTAGCGCTAGCCAGCTTAAGGCAACTTTATTTCTGTTTATACGGAACAAAGGTTTACAAGAGTCAGGATGAAGCATTAGTTCAATAAGCCCATCACAAGGCTAATGTTAATCATATTTTTGGCTCTAGTGGCAGCTTCCTTTTATTTCATTATGAAGTAAAGGGAATTAACAACAATAATATCTAGAATGCACATATTTCAGTCCATAGTCTCTATTTTCTAGTTACCAAAATTGACAAGGACATAATGGCCAAAGCCAGCTATAAGGAAATGAAGAGAAGTATTGGTAGCTTTTTTCTTATATTGGGTTGAGTCAATAAGGTAGTGACTGTCTGAGCTAGTTAGTGCTTCAGATTCATTTGCTCTATTGTGGATGGGAAATAATTGGATATTGTAGAATTAATTGACAGCAAGCCCTCCTTCCCTTTAAGATCATTTTTCTCCTCCCTCTTTTTCCTCCACATAGGTCCCATATTTTGTGTTACAGAAGTGGGATCCAATAAAGTACATATAGATGACAACTCCAATAAAGAACAATGGAGCAACTCAGCTCACGGAGCTCACTGAACCTTCCAGGAAGGGAGGTCATACGGCACAGCAATAGGCACTACTTGTCCATCAGGTAAGCTCACACATAGGTAAATCAAGGAAATAAAAATGAGGCAAGAAGGCATCTTACTGGTTACATCTAGTCCAGTGTCAAGCATAGCTTGTATGTTTAGAAAGTATTCTTACGAGCCCCAGAATTGAGAAGCAGTCATCTCATAAGACACACACCCGTTTCAAATGAGAGAAGGGATGGTTCAGCTCTAACATGAAACTGGCACTCATCAGCTGGCTAATGACATCTAGGGCCTGATGGAAATTTAGCCCGGCAAAACATTTCTCTGTGAAATGCAATGTGGTTATAATGACATTTTCCATGATGCATTGTGATTGAATTGGCTGTACATGACCAACTAAATTACTGTTTAGGGTCATGAACTAATACAAATTGACCTTTAGGCAAATAATTCTCAAACACATGAAATTTGGCAAAAAAGGAAAACAAAAAATTAAGTAACATCATCCATACATAGTTTTTTTAGCTGCTTAGAGCAAAATTATTTGTCTGTAATCGCCCTTCTGCCTGGTTTGGCGCCATTATGGATGTCATCCTTTTCTGGAAAGAGCAAGATGCATCCCTTTCCTTTTATCTAGTCCCTTTTTATTGAAACTGACAAGCAACAATGAATTGTGTGACCATAATGGAATTCACTTATTAGACAGAACATATTATTATAAATCAGCCACGCTTCAACTCTTTGAACACCTTTAAGTCCAAGACACTGCTTAGCTTGCAAATGTTACTTGAAAACATAAGTTACATTTCCTGTTTTCACAGCTGAGTTTTAGTACTCTCAGTACATATGGCCTTTTTATATTTCTCTCTCTTAATTGCACTCTTCTTTCAGATATATTATTACTGGTTTAAATTATGAAATGTTTTCAACTGGCAAACAAAATAAGGGTCAGGCTTCTGAGTTTTTTCAGTTGTAAACTTGATTGCCAGACTTCTCAACTATTTCCTATGTATTTCACACTGTGGCGATCAAATAATGCTCTGATATGTCTTTATGAATGTTCCTTTCACAGTTTATTAAGAGGTGGGCTTCTCTTTAGAGAAATGTGTGAATGTTTAATTAAAAACATAACTTGTATTTTTAAATTCATTTTGCTTTAATTTAACACGATTATACATCACAAAACCTACACATACATGCAAAAAATAAACCCTATAACTTTCGAGTTTAAAGGATGTCCCACCTATTTCTCCCTTTCACACACAAATATACCATAGAAACTATTGGCCAACATACAAAGGAGAAACCACGTTTCTTCTTTCCTCCAGAGATCAGTCTCCTGTTCACACATGTTAAGAAAATAGAAAATTTGGTCCTATTCACATGCCATTCAGGGCAGGAGGTTCCTGGTCAAAGTTACTCAAACCCCTTTTTAAATCACACAGGGGCGCACACTTCCGAATATGGTCTTGCATCCATCAACATGAAACAGTAGTAAAAGGCCATGAGAGGTCATAATAACAACATAAGGAAGTTCACCTGACAGAAATGACTACTTAGAGAGTGTAAAAACACAGAGCACTGTTTGAAGGCCTCTCGTTTTTTATCATTCTCACTGGCCCAGTCCAATCTGTTGCTTTTTATTTGATTCTTTGGAGAAAGATGACTCAATTTAATGCATTACCAAAGCTGAAAATGCTTTGATTAGTATTTTAAATAAAGTTCTGGTTCTTTGTAGAACAAGGTGTTTGCACACCTTATTCATGGCGATAGAGAAGTGTCTGGATTGTCTGTAAAATATCAGAGGCTTCCATATTAACTGAGTCTTCAGGCTAGCCAGGCTGTTAGAAATTGCATGTCTAGGGATGTCCTTGCTTTTACATTCTCTAAAAGGCAGAAATGGTAGCACATGAAAAATGAGGGCCTCAGAAGTATCTCTAGGGCCCTCATTGGTTTCCTGCGCATTCCCTGTTCCTTCTGGTGAGAGAAAAATCAAAGGAGGCTGAAAAGATGGGACTCTCATTGTGGATGCTCTTGGGGAAAAAAATGAAGATCTTTCTTTTTTTCCATTTCACTGATACTGTTCTTAAGTAATATAATTGGTAGATTCCTTAGAACTACCTCCCTCCACAAAGACTATGCATTGGAGCAAAGAAAGTCTGTTCAATAAATGGTGCTGGGAAAACTGGGTCGCTATGCAAAAGAATGAAGCTTGACCACTACCTCACACCATACACAAAAATCAACTCAAAATGGATTAAAGAACTAGACATAAGACCTGAAACCATAAAATACATAAAGGAAATATAGGTGAAACACTACATGATATGCACATCAAAGACATCTTTACAGACACATCACCCAAAGCAGTGATAGTGAAGGCAAAGATAAACAACTAGGATTACATCAAATTAAAGAGCTTCTGCACAGCAAGAGAGACAATAACCAAAACAAAGAGAAACCCCACCGACTGGGAGAACATTTTTGCACACAACACTCATGATAAAGGACTGATCACAAAAATCTGCAAAGAGCTGATGAGACTCAATAACAACAAAGAAAATAATCCAGTCCAAAAATGGGCAGAAGAGCTGAAAAGAAACTTCTCTGAAGAGGAAATGCAAATGGCCAACAGGCATATGAAAAAATGTTCAACATCACTTGTGATCAGGGAAATGCAAATCAAAACTACCATGGGATACCATCTTACACCAGTGAGAATGGCACATATTAAAAAAACTAGCAACAACAAATGTTGGCGAGGTTGTGGAGAAAAGGAACTCTCCTGCACTGCTGGTGGGAGTGCAAACTGGTCCAACCACTATGGAGAGCTATGTGGAGATTTCTGGACCTACTAAACATAGAGCTTACATATGATCCAGCAATTCCACTCCTAGGTATTTACCCAAAGGACACAGAAACATCAATTCCAAAGAACACCTGCACCCCTATGTTTATAGCAGCACTATTTACAATAGCTAAGCTTTGGAAAAAGCCCAAATGCCCAAAAATAGATGACTGGATCAAGAAGATGTGGTACATATATACCATGGAATATTACTCAGCATTCAAGAAAGATAAACACATGCAATTTGCAGCAACATGGATGGCGCTGGAAGGGATCATGCTCAGCGAAATAAGCCAGAAAGGAAAAGAAAAATACCGGATGGTCTCACTCATAGCAGGAATCTAGAGAACTTAAATAAGGGACCAGGAAAATGAATAACTATAACAAAGTGAAAATCAAAATCAACAAAAAACTATGAACCAGAGACACTTTTTTGGGGGTGGGGGCGGGAGGGGAGGGATTGGGGTCAGAATGGGGGGTTCCGAATGTATGGGGAATATAAAAATAAAATTTATTATTTAAAAAATAAATAAATAAATAAATAAATAAATAAATAAATAAATAAATAAATAAATAAAAGAACTACCTCCCTCCACCTCAACAGGCACTTTCTCTTTTGGCAACTTTTACCCACCCTCCCAGCACAGGTCAGATGCCAGTCTATGTTTCTCCTGACCCTGGCAGCTATCATTCTGCCTGTAATAGTGGCTTCCCTCATTTGTCTTCTTCGATAGAAATCTAACACTTTGGAGGACCATGTTGTACACACCTGAAAGAGGGTCTTCCTTCAACAAAAACTACTGATAGACACAGGGATGGACAATGGAAAATCATGAAAGTTATAAAAAGTTCTTTGAGCCTAACTGTGGTAAGTGATCGCTGGACTCTGCTCTGGGGTAGAGTTTTCTGATACGGGGCAGCAGAATTAACCTGACAGGTTTGATGAACAAAACATATTGTTCCATCTGGTGGAGTCACAGCCCTGTCATTAGTAACCTGCTTATCTGGCTGGGGTTCCTGCTATTTACTGCATGGACCTGCTGTCTTTGTGCATTTGGGAAATGAATTTTTATATAATGTTGCCAAGTAATGTTTCTTTTCTTGAATACTTGATGCCACAAGAAGAGATGCAAATAAAGGTCAGTATGTAATGTGTTTAAGAAGCATCATAGTTATTCTATTCATTTTTATACTTTTTTTTGTATTTTGTTATGCTTTAACATTTTTTGGAATAGAATAGTGATCATGGAGAATTCTGTGTTAATATGAAAACTTAATGGTCTTAGTAATGAATTAGAAGAGTTTTGGGATCACTTTGTATATATTTAGATGATTCTCCTAGAATGTGAGAAATAGAGATGGGGGAAAATCTTTTGTTAACTTACTCCTATTCACAATTAGAACTTTCTTAGAATGTGTGCTGCTATGCAGTTGTACAGATGTGGACCATGATCTCTGTGTGTGGCAAAGAGATGAGTGTGTGCTTATCTCTCTGTAGACCTCCTGGGACTCTGGACACAAAGTGTCTTTCTCAGACTCTCTTTCCTCTGCTTTTCCACCATCTCTGATCTAGTTCTGATTTACAAGACTTTTTAAAATGTAGATTTTTGAATTAAAAAAATGTTCATGTTGTAAAAATAAAAACAGTATAGAGACTTATAAAGATGCTTCACTCTTCACCAATCACACTTGACTCTCAATGCAGGCTTCATGGGGGGTGAACCAGCCAGCTGCTCAGGGTTCCTGTGTAGAAGTGTCCAATTTGGTTCACTGCTTGGCTCTTGTTGTCTTAAAATTCTTAAAGATTTTTCAGCACAACGTCCTTCAACGTTCACTCTGCACTGGGCTGGCAATTACATTTCCTGAGCTGTTAAGATCCCTCTTCCCCGCTTATCTAATCATTCTTAAGTTTGTTACTTCCAGAAATGTTCTGTGTATATAGCATATTTGCATCCATTTTTTGCATTGATTATTCTATATGTAGTCTATTCTTTCTTTGCTTCTTCAGTGTTGCATGATGGATTTTCCCACTGAACAGTCTTCCCCAGCAGCCATTTCTTCTGCACCCTGGGCAACCTCATTCTGCAACAGGAAGGTTTTTCCAATTCTGGTTGTGCCTCTTCCCTACTAAAAATGTGCAATGTTTCCCTGTTGTCTGTAGAGTAAATTAACGTCCTAGTAAACAAAACAGACTCTGTGGGACCATAGTCAGTGTGGGGCCAGATTGAGTGTCTGGGAATGCAGGTCTAAAGAATATCTCTGGACTAGGATAATCTCTAAGATCAAGTCCACTCTGCTAAGCAACCTACCTGTCTCTGCCAGGATCACCTCACCTAACATACACCTTTATTTTCAGACTTTATTACATCATATCTAACAGGAAGGGGAAATGTGATCTTCTCTTTTCGCTTACCATTACTTTGTAGTGTTGCTAATAATCAATCTTGAAATTATTGCTAGCAAAGACAGTACTATAAACCACATATTTGTGTCTTCTCAAAATTCATATATTGAAACCTGACTTCCCTACCCCCATGGGGGTGATTAGATGGAACCTTTGGGAGATAATTAGGTTTTAAAAGAGGGCGTGAGGTTCGAAATGGATGTGTCCTTATAACAAGAGACTAGGGTGGTACACTCTCTCTCTCTGCCTTGTGAAGACACAGCACAAAGACAGCCAGCAGAAGCCTGGAAGAAAGATCACATCAGAACCCAGACATGCTGTACCCTGGTATTGGACTTCATAGTCTCCACAACTGCAAGAAATAAATGCCTCTTTAAACCACCCAGTCTGTGCTTTTTAGACAGCCAGGGAAGAAGGTTTGTAGCTTGCTACAAAGTTGATTCATATACAGCACAAGGTTAGATCACACAGGCTATTTTTCATATGAAGAAAATGAGCTTGAGGAAACTATGTGTCATGTGCAAAGCCACAGAATTTAGTGATGTACTTAAATTAACATCTGTGGCATCTGTGGTTATCAGGTGAATAGCTGTGACTCCCTGGAATTTTCCTTGAATCCTCTTCAGTCTGAGGTCAGAACACTATTCAGAACAGGTTTAGAGAAGTCTGACTATTATAGTGACACATATTTTCATTTCTTTGAGTCCTGAATTTCTAAGCTATGCAGATGGGATTGTCCAAGGTGGTGGTTAAAAATACCTTAGTTGCCCCTCACATTCCTATGTGATCATGGGAGAATTACTCAATCTCTCTGAGTTTTACTAAAGCCGAAAACAGGTCTGTGAAAACAGAATGTGATTAGGAATAAAACAGATTAGCCGAAAACAGAATGTGATTAGGAATAAACAGATTTTCACTTATTTAGTTACTCAATGGACACTTGATGAAGATTATTATGTACCAAAGATTGTGCTCAGCCATGAGATGGGGCAGCGACTCACACACATTCCCTGTCCTCATGAGGCTTATGGGCTGGTCAGATTTAAGATATAAAATATATAGCAGCTCCTTTCTCTGCCCAGGATGGGGGCTCACTTCACAATACTGACAACAGCATAAGTTCCTAAGTGTTAGTTTCCTTCCCTCTCCTTAGTAAAAGTAAGTGCTACTGTTACTTTAGAGATAATTCATGAAAATCAGGGCATTTATGATGGAATCCAGGGGAAAATGTCCATCCTCCTGCCTGGCCCCTCACCCACTGTCATTCCTAAAGATTACTTGCTAATAGAAAGTCTGAACATAGGCCAATTTTATGAAAAAGTGGTAACATTTAGTCCTAGTGCTCTTTTCTTCATGAAATAATAGAACCTTTTAAAAAAATCAGCTTTGGAAATAAGTCTTGCCCACGTGTGAGGACTGATGAATACATTATAAAAAAATTTCCATCTAGTCAAAAGCAATTTGAAAACTGGGTAGGGGTTACTTACTTCGTGTTACCCATGTCAGTCTATGTCCGAGCTCTGCCGGGATCTACCTAGTCAGAGCACGCCTAGCAAGAAGACACTGCATGTCCAAGAAATCAGTTTAGAAGCCACACTAAAGGAAAAGCTGTCTAGTGAGGTCCACGCCAGACCTGCCCGAGAATGTGAAAGAAGAGCAGGAAGGTTAGTACGTAAAGTAACGCCATGCACGCGCTCAACTCTAGCAGAAGGGAGTCTTGCATGCAGGGTCATTTCAGTGTGAGCTGCAGATGTCTGTTTTAACCACAGTGCCTTGCTAGAGCTGCAGTTGACAAGGCCAGCTGCTCTGAACTGCCAACTGTCAGTTGACGTGGCAAGCGCCTACCAATTTGTGCTGAGAAAACAGCACGGAATTGGGTCAGCACAGGACATGACTTTAATATCCTCCATCTGTCAAGTTGACTTGTTTGGAAATAATTGAGCACTCTGAGCATGAATAGTGAAGGCTCTTCTATGATAACATTTGTCCATGATTCAAAAAGTCAAATTGCTCTCAGTTTCCTCTGCAGGGAGAGCAGGAAGTCAACTCTATGACTTTCGGTGCTGTAGGTAGTGTAAATGAAGGGCCTCCCCCACTGAGTCCTGAACGTACCTTCCGTCCTCCCAGGCACTGCTGGAGCTGAGGCTTGGTCAGGACGCCATATTGGCAGTTGTGGGGCTGCCAAGTTATTTCTCTCCAGTCACAGGTCCTGTTGTCAGCACAACTAAGACAAGGCACAATCCACTGACCTGGAATAGACACAAAATGTCCTTGGGTTCAGCTTCTACTGATGAAATTACATTTTGCAAGTAACTTTGGGTTTTCAGCACAGCACACAACTATAGAAATTACAGCAAGAAGACCACTCATTCCCTAAACCCAGGGGAGTCTCCTGCCAAACAAATAAAATCACAACAGGTAGTAATGTTCTGAAACAATGCAGTTCACATGGAAGCCAGGTACAAATTCTGTCCTGTGAACTTTTAAATTAAGTGATCATGTACTACTTAATTATTACCTTTTTTTTTTAAAGATTTATTTATTTATACAAAAACTGGGGTACAGGCCATAGGCGCAGGAGGGTGAGAGGATTCACCAGAGACAGAAGGGGAGCAGAACAGGCAGGCAGACCAAAAACACTGCTGAGAGCAGCAGCGGGTGAGACAGGAGAGGTCTGCCGTGCCATGTGGGTATCTGCGGCTGGCCAGGGATCGCTGCAGAGGCTGTGGACAGCCTCACCACACTGCGCTCAACCCACCGCGCCACGAGGGAGGCCCAATTACTTTTTTAAAATAATGCATTAGGTGCTTAATAGGAGCAACATAGATAAGGTGCCAGTGATATTGAGGTAGCTAGTGACAAATAATGATAAATTTAACACATGCTTAGGTTGGCCATTCAAAAATAAGCATACTCCTCATTCTCAAGAGAGTCAAGATAGAAGAGAATGACTTTACTATTCTGGTAATTTTAAAGACTGGCTATTATTATTCCTTAATTTGATTGACAGTCATTTTTGTGAGAATCTCTTCACCTCTTTCTAGCTCTGCTGACTATTGCTTCAGCTGTTAGGCGAGGTGTGTATTGCTCTCCTCACATGACTGGGGTATGGGTAATGGGACAATGTATTTTTGTAACAGCTTTATTTTTATTTATTTATGCATACAAGAGCTGGGGTGTAGGCCAGAGGGGCAGAGCATGAGAGGAGTCACCAGAGACAGAGTGGGGAGCAGAACAGGCGGATCTACTGAAATACACTGCTGAGGGGAGCAGCGGGCAAAACAGGAGAGGTCTGCATCACCACGTGGGTCAGCTCCCTGGCTGCGGATCGAACTCAAGCCGCAGTGGCTGGCGAAAGATTGATAGTACTGAGACTTTAACCACTGCGCCACCAGGGAGGCTTATAATGGGACAATAAATTAACAGGACTAGCATACTTATCATCTTCACCATTGTTACCTGCAGAGTTTAGGCACAAAGTAGCTTACAAGTTTTTGTGTTTATAGGATAAATTAATATTTTCAGTGTATTTAAGATTTTTTTTATTAACAAAGTTAAATGTAGTCCAAACACTTCAGTTTTAGTGTGAGTGGATACATTTATAATCTATCCTTTTAAATACTGTTTTTATTTGTTTCTTTCCCCCCTCGTTTGTCCTTCCTAAAAATGGAGAGTGAACTAGTATATTATATAGAGAGTGTTCAGTTATCTCCTTTGTGAAAAATATTCTGATGTGCCAACAATCATCTCCTCTAGCCTATGGGTTTTGCCTATATTAAAACTTACGTTTTTCTCTTCTGATTTTTTAAATTATTATTTTTTTTTTTATAGAGGCATGTTTTTATTTATTTATTTATTTGTTTGTTTGTTTTGTTTATACATGCACTGGGTATAGTCAGAAGCACGGGAGGGTGAGAGAATTCACCAGAGCCAGAGCGCGGAGCAGAGCAGGCAGAAGGACCGAGGTACACTGCTGAGGGGAGCAGCGGGCGGCAGGAGAGGTCTGCGCGCCATGTGGGACCCTCCTCAAGTGGCCGGGGAGCAGCCGGGGATCGAACCTGCACCGCGGAGGCTGCAGGCAGCTTCGCAACCCAGCGCTCAACCGCTGTGCCACCGGGGAGGCCCTCTCTTCTGATTTTTAAATAACAAAAAGACATTTTAACAACATATCCACGCTGGTTTTGATTTGTGGTTCTGCTACCAAACATATCTGGTGTGAAATTAATTTTAGTGAGAAATTTTTTACTTTCAGGACCTCCAGGATGTCAAAGTTGTGTTATGTGAGTGCTTGCTTTTGTGGAAATAGTTACAGATAATAAAATATAGAAGGAGATCTAGCTTATGCCTCTTTTCTGTTGATCACAGAAAGGGAAAATATATCTGTGGGTAAACTAATAGAGAAGAAATGACAGAGACAGGAGATGACAGAAGGGAAAGGAGATGAAAAAATGATGACTTCTTGGCAAGTACCCAGTAAGAATCACTTTACTGGGTACAGTGCCAACAGGAGCAGAAAGCTGAAATATAAGACAGTTGAAAAGTAACGTGGACTTACTTATTTCTTCTACTATTACTTTTTTCTTTGCTATTATTTTTAAACTAAAACAAAAAACCAAAAAAAACAAAACTGCCCTACTCAATGTCTACCCTCTTGGTATTCTCTACATTATTTCAGGACTGATAAATCACCGTTTTCCACATACCTGTCACTCTTTAGGAGAATTTTAATTTAAAACATTATTGAACCCCTACCCTATTAGATTTAAGGTGTTAGTGGTATTTAAAAATATTACAATTTTTTTTAAATGTAGCGAACATTTTTATAGCACTTCTTAGATGCCAGGGGTTTCTGACTGCTTTAATATGTTGATTTATTTAAGGCTCCCCACTATAATGTTAGACCTCAAAAAATAATAATCAGGTAGAGGGTTATAACTTATCCATGTAAAATAATTATAGAAAAATAATAGGTCATGAATAATCGAATATAAATATGTGTGTGGACCTAAAGGAATCTGAGCTTTGGAGACACACACCTGAGCTCTGCCTCCTCCTAGCTCTGTGGGCCTCAATACTGTACACTAGTCATCTGGAAATCCCCACTTGGACATCGTACCCAAGGATAATTAAATCAGAACCACTGGGTTTGGTTTGTAGGCATTAGCAATTTTTGAATGCTTCTCAGGTGATTCCAATATTCTATCAATGTTTAAAACTTCTAATTAAGTTGAACAAATTATTTAATCTTTTCATGATGACATTAATTTCTCTCTGTCTAGGACATTTGTCATTGTGCTCGATACCTAACAAATGATGAATCTATTTTATTCCATCTCCCTAGCTTAAGCAAGCCATGGCACTTTAGAATAAAGAGAGTGCTATGGGTGCAGGGGGCCAGAGCTTTCTGGAAGCAAACACAATGTGAACAGGTATTTATGATGTAGATATGACTTGGAGAGGTAAAATGGATAGTACTTTAGGGATAGTAAAAGGGTAGTCTTAACAGGAGTGAAACTGAAGAAGTGACTGGTCACTACCGTAGATTGTAGAGATACATACATATATACATATAACTGTATTTATAAATACATATACCTATATAGGCGTTATATACCCATCCATCCTTCCATTTAAAGATCCACTAGGGGAAAGGTGTTTCCAAAGTTTCCAGATGTAGGAAATAGCAGTACTACTAAAAGTTATAACAAAGACAATTTTGGAGAGGAGCTGGTGTTTGAAAGGCAAAATAACTGTCCTTAAAACTGTTTGCTTCCACATAATTCTCCTTTATAATTTCCATTTTCTATTCAGAGTAAATATTGTTTTCAAATTCTAACTCTGGCCTGATATAAATGGTTTGTAGTTAATAATCGACCCCTTTACACTTTGCTTGGCTCCTTCTAATATTATGTGACTTAGATACAACCTTAAGTTTTAATCTTTCCTGATGAATTCCTCAAGAAAACTTCCTTCTAGAAAAGCCATTTCTTTTTCTTCATAGAGATTTGTGGTCAGTGAACAGCATATAGAATCTTCTTGGATGGATTAGAAGGAACTTTGGACCACCTTCTATTCATCCTTCTATTTTAAAGATGAGGTAAACTGAGGGCCAAAGAGGTAAATGATAGAAGTGAGATCATACTGTTCAAGGCAGGGCTGGACCAGAGCTTAGGTCTGGGAGTGTCCACTGTGCTGATCCTTTTATCACATTAGACTAGGTCAGCACAAAGTCATCCCCCGAAAATGAAGTGTGGCTCAAAAACCTCCTCAGTAGCACTTATATAAGATCCATAAACAGGTAGTTATAATGAATGCATCTTTATTTAAAAAACCTGAAATTTTCAGTGGATTCATGTTTTGACAGAGACTATGTTTCCATAAAAGATCATTAATTTTCATTCCAGTAGAACATACGTATGTTTTCTGCTAGTGAGATTATTTTTAGTATTATTTTGAAGGGCTTATTTTTCATCGGATCTTTGAGTATCTAAGAACACGTGCATACCTCCCCTAGATACTCTCACCCCCAACCTTGCTGAAAGCTAATTTTGCATAAACCCGGGGTTTTGTTGGCCATTTTCTGCTAATGCTGGAGAAACAAGTGGCCAGTTGCATGGGCAAAGACCCAAATATGGGTGCAATTAGTTCATGGGTGCATAAAACTGCATGCACATAAAAAGGATGCCTGGTCAGGTCTCTGAAAACTTGGCCCTGAGGGTTCATACTACTATGTGTTTAGACAGTCCTAACTCTGCATTTTTGTATTGGTTAACAATGCCTTTTTTTATTGTGAGTTAGAAATACTGCTTGAAATAGACATCTGTATAACATCTGCAGGACTAGGATTTCTTGACATTTTAAATGATACCAGCTCTTAACTAAAATTGTCAAAAAGAGGGACATAAATTCTATGTTATATATTTAAACACTGAATGAACCAAAGCTGTGATTTCTGAAATGAAGTATGACATATGTTTTAGGGAATAACATTCTGAGGAATGAAACTGCCTTTTGGGAGAAGTTTATTTGATTTATAATTGTTACTTTATGTTTAACGCAAGTTAGATTTAGGCCATTTAAGTGAATCCAATTGGTGATATAATGGAGAAAAGATTTCAACTTTGTGACTTAGGGCCATGGTGAATGTAAAATTATATAAATGGTAGCACTGATTCCTGACTATTATGTTATAAAATAAAGCAGCGTTTAATTAAGAAGAAATATAGATCTATACATTTAATATTATAAGTATGATATTTCCTGGCTAAAAAATTATGACATCTTTTGTTTACATATCATAAAATGCAATCTAAACTATTTTCCTTAAAAACAATTCTCATTCAATAATAATCATATAAATTTCTTCTTTCTCCAAATTAGGTGAATTATTTTATTTTTCTTGCTTGAGCAACAAGTGTTGTTCTTAGGTTGTGACTTAGAGTTAAATTGTTTTGTAAAGGTTAAACACCAACTTAAGAATAAAAAAAGTTGGGGCCTCCCTGGTGGTGCCGGGGGTTGGGACGCAGCCTATGAAACTATCCACAGCCTCTGCAGCACAAGTTCGATCCCTGGCCAGGGAGCAACCCACATGGCACAGCAGACCTCTCCTGACTCTCCCGCTGCTCCCCTCAGCAGTGTATTTCAGTCAGTCTGCCTGTTCTGTTCCCCGCTCTGTCTCTGGTGAATCCTCTCACCCTCTCACATCTCTGGCCTATACCCCAGTTTATGTATGCAAAAACAAATAGATCTTTAAAAAAAAAGAATTTAAAAAGTCACTTAAGATTATCTTAGTTAGTGTTACTGGAAAGACATTTTTGACCATCCTTATAGTGGCAAGGTGAGAACCTGGATCCAGTTCTACCCAGTAATTCTAATATGCAGTGAAAATGAAATTTTGGAGCCAAATTATGGTCAATGATGCTAACCATTGGAGCACCTAAACAAATGTCCTTCCAAATCTCTCTACCAAGACAGCTTCTTTCAAAAGCATGGAATCCAATCACTAAGAACAAAATCATCTCCAACAGCAAAATATCTATTCTTGCAAACTCTGTCCTGATCTCATTCATTTATTATGAATCTTTTGGTCTTTACCCCTTAAGGGTGAGGCAATTATCCTTGAGTGGTTGTGCCCTGGCTGTTCAGTCTTCTGTGCAAGGGAGGAATATTGGTATCTTGGTGTTAGTTTAGCAAACGATTTTTAAAATTGTTTGGAATTGAAAGAGAAATAAGGGGCAATCTCTGCTGTGGCAAAATATGTAATCTAGGGTAGTCATCAGTAAAAATGTATTGCTAATGCACCTTCAATATAGCACACACATATGCTATAATTATTCATATATACTTGCTTGAATTTATTATTACATTTTAAAACAAAATAAGAATGATTATGGTAATGTTTACTATAGATTGTTCCATGGCCCACCCTTTCCTCCTTAGATGCATTATTCCACTTTGAAGACTACTGATTAGAAAGAGAGAAACATGTAATTAAGCACTTGAAACATAATGAGGTAAATGCTAGCTATTGTAGAAAGCACCCAGGATATTCTGGGAGCACAGAAAAGCAGCTAAGGTGGCATCCCAGGAAAGGAAGATACAGCACGATGGGAAAAAGACTTGTAGAATCAAGGAGTAGCATGTACCAGAGTCTGGAGCATTATTGGCATAATGTGAGATGAGAAGCTGGGGGAGATAGGAAAGGCTGGGTGATGGAGCCCAGGGGGTATCAGACTAAGGTGCATGGGCTTGACAGGGGCAAAAGTTTGGGGAGAGGGAACTTCTTTAAAGAGGCCTAGCTATTCAAGTTACCAGAACACCCCTGTTCGTGGCAGCTCCTCTGACAAAGACCAGGCCCCAAAGTCACATCAGGACTTGGCATCGGTTACTGCAAGATTCATGGGTAGACAAGGTGGTACTTTTTAGAGAATCTCAGTGATGTACCTTCAACTTTCTATTGAAGAACTTTTGATTGTTTCAGTAGGAGGAAAAGAATTAGATTGTTTATATGATTCTCATAAATTGTCTTCTGATAAAAAAATATTTAACTAGACATATGAGAGTCTCCTTTGTATATAAGGGTATATATCTCATTTAGCTGAGAATAATAAATCATACCACCTGACACACCATAATCGGTAAATCCACGCTAAGCACGGACTGTAATTTATTATTTAGAACACATGTTCAGGAACAGGCATTTGCCCACGTTGCTAACTGTGCATGCCAAATTGCAATTTGTCCTGCCCATTTGTGAAACTCATTTCCCATTCAAGCTGTGGTGTGAAGTTCACGGTAAGGGTAGAAAAGCTCCTGAATGTTTTCTCAGACTTTTTAGATGAAGGGGGATCTGGGTCAGGAGGCCGGAGTGCCAACCAGGAATCTCAGAGAAGATGTTCCTTGCTCCTCTTACTGCCTCATAGGCATTTTTAGTCCCAAACTGTACTTGACCCCTCTTGCCTCCCATGAAGAAGAGTCTAGGACAGGGGAGAAACAGGGAGGTTGTTGCAGGTCTGCTCTGGGCTTTGGGAAGATTGATCACTGTAATTTGAACTTGACATCACATTGTCCTGCCTTTATTAAGGTTTGATAGATGGGAGACATTGATGTTCAATAGATGGACGTGGTCATTGCAAATCTTTTTTAAATTAAAGGAAATTATTTAAATTTGAACTTGTATATTTTAGTGCAAGGCCAACAGATATTTATTTGTACCTACTCTGTAGAAAATATATTGCTAAGAGAATTGATAATGTGATCAAATCAGGTCCCTTCATGTGGTATTCAGCCTGGGCAGACTGACATCAAATAATTAATTACATATTTGATTATTTAAATAATTGCAGCTATGGAAAAAAAGCACAGGGCTCTATGGAAATATATAATAAGGAAACAAATCAGAGGCTCAAGGAAAAGTTTCTGGCACAAGTGACTTTTGAACTAAGACGTACTTGAATATGAATGAACTAGGCAAATGGCAAAGGTGAAGAGAAAAGCAGTTGATTAATCAAAATAAGTCACATAGTAAAACAGTGTGTTTAATTATAAGTGTTGCAGCTCATACTAATAAAAAAGCAATGTACTTGGGGCCTCCCCTGTGGTGCAGCAGTTGAGCGCTGGGTTGTGAAGCTGCCCGCAGCCTCTGCAGCACCGGTTCGATCCCCGGCTGCTCCCCGGCCACCAGAGGAGGGTCCCACATGGCGTGCAGACCTCTCCTGCCGCCTGCTGCTCCCCTCAGCAGTGTACTTCGGTCCTTCTGCCTGCTCTGCTCCCTGCTCTGGCTCTGGTGAATTCTCTCACCCTCCCGTGCTTCTGACTGTACCCAGCGCTTGTATAAATAAATAAATAAATCTTTAAAAAAAAAAAAAAAAAAAAAAGCAATGTACTACCTTGATGTTTTTGTTCAAAGATTAAATACGCTTATACATATTTATAGTAAAGGGTGCTTTTTTAAAAGAGATGTTTGTCCAATGTGACACTCACCTTTTGTGTCCCCAGATGGACAAATCTTTAGTTCAGGCTGTGAAATGGCTTCAATGTAGTCAGAGGAAATAGGCTGTAATCCACAGGTTTCATCTGGGAGAATCAGCAAACCACAATCCTGCATTAAAATGATAGAAATTAGCTGACATAGTAGTTAACCTGACTTACAATAGTAAAATTCTAAAATGACCATTTTTCGTGCCAAATAACCTTTATCTATAAATGGTAGCAATTCTAGTTACCCTCCTCAAATTACTGACTTATCAATATGTTAACTTGCAACTACTAACTTATTAATAGACATGTATGTTATTAATAACTACTTGGGTTAAGAGAGTAATAAAAATTCTTGTGACATTTAATTTTTATTGTGGCTTGATATTCATGTCACTATTGCCCTGCCACTTTCTAAAGAAATTTATGCAAGTTTTATTTAAAAATATATTTATATGTTGACTCATTAAAAATAACAGACTTTACTAGAGTATATCAAGTGGAAAAAACTGCTAACATGAAAAAAATGGGCAATATTTGGGGAGATGTTAATTTAACAGAAAAATTTCACTTCAACATCTATTTATTAAGGACCCATGATATGCCAGATATGGAATCAAACACAGGTATTTTATTCCAATCAGATTCATTTATTTGTAAAAGCAGGCAACATCTCACTGCAATGAATATCAGTCACTCTGGAACCTTGTTCTGCAGTAAGTCATTCTTCCCATAAGATGACTTGTGCAGTTATATGCATAATACGACTATGTTGGCTCCCTGAAATCTTACCCCAACTTTCTTCTTCTCCATCCACTGATGGAGTAGGTGTGTTGAACCCCTCTCATTTTGCCCTTATTCTACAAAGTTTTTGGCACCTATCCCTGGCCTTTTCATCTCTTTCATATTCTTCACCATGTGATATTTATTTTTCCTGTCTCCTTCCCACTAGATTGAATACTCCATGAGAGTAAGTATAATTATTTCCCTCACACACAAACCCAGTTCCAGCCATAGAGTAGGTAATAAGTACCTATGAAATTCATAAATGTTAGCTTTAATTGTCTCCCTCTTCATATCATAAATTCTCAGTAATGGAGAAAAATAATTGGTTTGACCTCTTCTTTGCTGTGTAATTCTGCCTCTAATGAGCAATTTCCAGTCACATTCCCACACACTCTCAAATGTCCCAACTACCAACTCAGATTCCCAGATATTATATAAAAATGCCCAGGATATTAAGGAACAAAGAGAATGGGGGTAATATATATACTTCTTGAAATCTTGATTCAGTATAGATGTTTTTTAAAATTCATAACTGAAACAGGGTATTTTAACCAGTTCAGGATCCTGGCTAAAGACAAGGAAGGTGATTTCTAAGAAAATGTTCATGACAGGGCCTCCTGGTGGCGCAAGGGGATGAGCACCGCACTATGAAGCAATCCTCAGCCTCTGCAGCATGAGTTCAATCCCCAGTGTGGGTTGCTGACCCACATGGTGCAGCAGACCTCTCCTGTCTCGCCCGCTGCTGCCCTCAGCAGTGTATTTCAGTCAATCTACCTTCTGTTCTCTGCTCTGTCTCTGGTGGATTCTCTCACCCTCCCCCCACACCGCATCTCTGGCCTGTGCCCCAGCTCTTATATGCATAAATAAATAAATCTTTAAAAAAATTCATTACAATAAATATAATAAATAACTAAATACATAATTTTGTGAGGAGATTTAGTATGAATAGCCGTCTATGAATGAGATGTGTGTGTGTGTGTGTGTGTGCGTGTGACAACCTATAGAGTCTTACTCAGAGAAAGAATGATTAATTCACAATGTGGTCCTAAGTATTTATGATACACCTTTAAAATAGAAAGGTAATAATTTAATACCTAGAACATGCAAAGTGCCATGCTAAGAATATGAACACTATCAAGAGACAGTCCAGTTCATTATCAAAAGCTTCTTAATCTTGAATGGAAATTGACATCTCACTGTTTTAATTTCCCTCTTAGTTGCAACTTAGAACAAATTTACTGTAATAATAGAGAAGCATGTTCCAATTTAACTTCAAAGCTGTTGAAACAAATGACTTGTGATGGATCATGATATTTCTTTTTTTTAAAATAAATTTTATTTTTATATTCCCCATACAATTGCAACCCCCTTATTTTGACCCCAATCCCTTCCCTCCCTGCCCCCCACCCCCCTATAGTGTCTCTGGTTCATAGTTGTTTGTTGATTTTGATTTTCACTTTCTTATAGTTATTCATTTTCCTGGTCCCTTATTTAAGTTCTCTAGATTCCTGCTATGAGTGAGGCCATCCGGTATTTTTCTTTTTCTTTCTGGCTTATTTCGCTGAGCATGATCCCTTCCAGCGCCATCCATGTTGCTGCAAATTGCATGTGTTTATCTTTTTTGATTGCTGAGTAATATTCCATGGTGTATATGTACCACATCTTCTTGATCCAGTCATCTATTTTTGGGCATTTGGCTTATTTCCAAAGCTTAGCTATTGTAAACAATGCTGCTATAAACATAGGGGTGCAGGTGCTCTTTGGAATTGATGTTTCTGTGATGAATCATGATATTTCTAAATGTTCAATATTTGTACTTTCTAAATACCCATGATCTCACATGTGACCCTATAATAGAGTGAACATAACAGAGAATTCAGAAAACCATAGTCTAAGTGGGAGCGGGAAGGGGTGATCACCCAGATACTCCCCATTTTCTCCTTGGCCTTGTCCTCATGTGTGAATTGTTACCTGGTATGTTGCTACGTCTGCCTCAGCTGGGAGTTCTTAGCAGTTACCTGTTCTTTTCTAGTTGGTTGGTCAATCCTGTTGGTCCTAACTAAACATTCACCATTCTCTTAAATTATACGATAGGGCAGGAATCAAAGTCATTTACAAGGCTAGAGAGAGCAGAGCCTAGAAGAGGGAAGTCAGTTGTGACGTAAATTAAATTTAAAGTTACACCCTCTACTCTGCAGTTTAAGACAAAGTATGTTCTATTGTATTTTGTGCCTCCTTTTAAGTTTCTTCTTAGTAATTAATCTTTGCTGTAGTAAACATAACTCCTAACCTTTTACATCAAACCATCATAATTTTGGAAAGCCAGCACTGTCCACTGCAGTGGATATTAAGCATTTTCTATCTGTAGCTAATCAATGTTACCCTTAAAGTGTTTCTTATTCTTAAGATGATATTGCTATATATTTTAGAGCAATACCAAGTCAGACTACCCGATCTAGTAGGTATCCTTAAACTTTGCCTACATTTTCAGCTCCATAATCATTCCCTCAAGATGAAAAATTACATCCTTCTCTGGCTAAATAATAAAAAAATGCCCACTTAAATTAAAAATTACACATTAACCCCTTGTGGTACCCAACAACTTCCAGAGGGATCCATTTTCTCTCTCCCTGGTCTACTGCTTTTCCCTTTAAGTCCATACTGACCTCTCAAATGTGACAATTCTTGCATGTTTCCCTCCCCCAGAAAGGCAGAGTCCCCTTCCAGATTCAGGATTGTTCCTCTTCCCTCAAGAAATGAGGGATCTGAGGAGCAAGTTCATTACCAGCTCACACAAGCTTAGATTTTGTTGAGGCCTAATGACATATTTTGCTAATGTTCTGCTGGAATGATGAACAAAGGCACCTGCCGGCGCCCTGGAGCCCCTGCCACCCTGTAGGCTAAGGTCCTATGAAGCCTGGAAACAGCAGAACCCTCCTTGTCTCCAATCCTTGGCACCCGCAGGCATAGATCAAAATGCAAGGCTGCTGTCCATCTCTGCTCCTCTAATGTCACATTCCTCCCTTAAGACATAGTGAGAATGGCACATATTAAAAAAACTATCAACAACAAATGTTGGCGAGGATGCGGAGAAAAAGGAAGTCTCCTGCACTGCTGGTGGGAGTGCAAACTGGTCCAACCACTATGGAGAGCTGTGTGGAGATTCCTCAACCTGCTAAAGATAGAGCTTCCATATGATCCAGCAACTCCACACTTAGGCATTTACCCAAAGGACACAGAATCATTAATTCAAAAGGGCACCTGCACCCCTATGTTTATAGCAGCACTATTTATAATAGCTAAGCTAAGGAAACAACCCAAATGCCCAAAAATAGATGACCGGTCCATATACACAATGGAATACTACTCAACAATCAAAAAAGATAAACTCATGCAATTTGAAGCAACATGGATGGAGCTGGAAGGGATCATGCTCAGCAAAATAAGCCAGAAAGAAAAAGAAAAATACCGGATGGACTCACTCATAGAAGGAATTTAGAAAACCTAAATAAGGGACCAGGAGAAAGACTAATTATAATAAAGTAAAAATCAGCAAGCAGCTATAAGCCAGAGACATACTACAGCAGGGGAGGGGGCTAGGAGGGATTATGGTCAAAATAAGGGGGGTGGGAATTGTATGGGGACTATAACCAAGATGAAAAGCATACATTGTGCAAAAATGAAAAATGATATAAAAAATATAAAATATTAAAAAAAAAGACATTGTAACAGGTTCTCACTGGTCCTCTGCCACACCCATCACATGGTAAGCAAACCCTTCCCCACTCTCCACATCTTCACACAACCTTCCCTCCATCTTGTCACCATCACAGAAACCCTATACTTTGTAAAAACACAATTTCCCTACAGCTGTCTTCAGGGGACGCTGCTCACCATGTCCCTCAGGGTCCCCAGTACGGGTCATGAGATTGACTTTCTATCTCCCTCCTGCCTCTTCAAACCATCCCTCCATTGTCCTTCCTTTTCTCATGGCTCATTCAATCAGCTCTTTCCATGGCGCTTGCTGTCTCCCAACACTTAATTATGCTCCACATTCACCAAATGTAACACCTTGGTTATTATCATTCTTTCCACTTCACCATTGTCATTGAAAATCCATGTGGGTCCATCCCATTTTATTCAGCAATGTTTTGGGGCAAGCTCCAGAACTTTTTAATCAAAGCTGAGCTGCTGCATCTCTGAAATGTTAAATTCTAATATATATTCTGCAAATAAAATATGCTTTTCTTTTAACCTAATTCCTGCTTGCTCTGCATTCATTCAAAACTTTCATTTCTTTGATCAAGGGATTATGATTACTCATTCTCTTTGAACGTA